AATAATCCCTTAAATTTCCCTCTGGTGCATAATCTAAAACTATTGCATAATTTCCATTATCTGGGAATTTAGTTATACCATAACAAGGATTAATTGCTGGTGATTTAATTTTACAATGATTCATTGCCTGAAATTGAATATAAAATCAATTAGTATTATATAATAATACAGTATTGTTTATTTTGTTTTAATGACGATTACCAACCTCATCAAAAAAACCTTTTCCTGGATTACTTGAATTATTTAAACTTTTTAATACTACATCTTTTCTTTCACGATAACTAAATTCCTTTTTATTTTCATCATAATCAATTATATATCCCCTTGTCCATGTAGCAGTATAAATTGAACTAAATCCACCTTCAGTTAATTTTGTTATTTTTTCAAATTGCTCAAAAGGTATCCATTCTAAAATATAAGTTGGCAGAGATGATTTCATTTGACATTGTTGAATAAAATTATCAATTGTGTTATTCCCAGATGTCCAAGTAGTGAAAAGATCCTGTAGTTGTAAAGTAATACAACCTTCACAGAATCTATCAGAGTATCTTGTCAATTTACACTTGTTACATTCTTTCGGTTTACCAACTTTATATGTTACATTATTTAATTCAACCCAAAAAATAAAATCTTCCTTACAATATTCTTTTTCATTCTCGGAAAGCTCCTTGTTTTTTTTGACTATTGAAAAAAAATAATCTTTTCTATTTTCTCTATCAGAATTGGTCATTGCATTATTCCACATTTCATTAAGAATTTTAAATACAAATCCCCTTCTTTCTAGTGGTATTAATGATAATAATTTACTAAGAGACATCATATAAAAGTAAATGTATTTATAAGATTTAAAATTTATTTGACTCAATCTATTAGTGTTTTATTGAATAGAGTGGAGAAAATAATTTTTTTTGTACTGAGAATAACACAAGTCTGTTTATTTATAAATATTCATAATTTTTTACATAATTCTTTGTATTATTTCCTTTTGCAGAGAAATAATTGAATGGCGTGCAACAAACAATTTTCAAAACTTCATAGATAGGTTACTACCGCAGCTAGGCCAAATTCATAAATTTTTTGTCAGTGACTATAATAACCTAAAAGGCAATTTATGGGCCTATTTTCTTGAACTCTGCTCGAACTTGAAAATTCAAGTTTTAACTTGAGTCTGTCCAACTTAGAGAATAAAGCGAAGAAAAGAATGATTCGAATGATTTGAATAAATGAATAAAATGAATGGTTCGGGTGATTTGAATAAATGAATAAAAAAAACGAATAGTTAGAATAATTAGAATATAAAACAATAAGGAAAAATAAAATGAATAAACAAAACGAACAAAACGAATAATTCAAATAAATAAAACAAATGATTTGGGATAACTCGAATAAATGATAAAACTATTTATACAGTTGTTTCGATGAATTATAATTAAATTTGCGTTACTTTAAATGCAACTTTCTTATGCATATATTTCAGAATCTAAAAAAATTTTTTATTAAAACATAGAATTGTTCCCATTTGAAATTTTTAGTCTGTCATAAAATCATTTAAATGTTCTAAATTCAAGCATGTTATTAGTATACAATTCATTATTGCTTCAATTATTTTCAGTGGTCTGCAAAATCAAATCAGCATTAACCAAAAGACTGCCTTGCAATGTCACCATTTAACAAGAACTAGAAACTGTAAAAAGTTTATTATAAGATATATTATTATAATTTAGAAAAATAAAAAATAAAAATATAAATAGTTATAATGAATAAATAAATTATAGTGGAGATTAAATTAGTCACATCAATTCTTTCTTTTAATCACTAGAATCTAATGCTTATTAATCAATCAAACTGTTAGTAATAATTAATGGATAGTAATTTCCAATGAATTAATATAGAATTTTTATTCACCTTTGTTAACCAAGAAAGCCAAAATCTAACAATTATCATTAATTGTATAACTTTTAAAGCACTTTGATCTAGCAATTTCTTCATCCAATATTCTACTTGTATGGTATGCATCTGGATGTGATTTTTGTACTTGTTGCAAATCACTACCACCACCACCACCACCACTGCCACTGCTGCTGCTGCTGCTGCTGCTACAATCATTATTACGAATTTCCTTATGTTTATTATAAGAAAAGTCAAGAAGATCTTCACTAGTTGGTCTTTTTGATGGATCCACATCCCAACATCTCTGCATCATTTCTGCATAATCATCAGGCATTCCTGGTAATATTGGTGGTCGTAAACCTTCTTCATATATATCAAAAATTAAACAATGATCATGAGCTCTATCATCAAATGGTGGATGACCTGCAAATATTTCCCACATTAACATCCCAATGCTATAGATATCAGATTCTTTTGTGTACTTTTTTCCTCCAAGTAGCTCAGGTGCAACATATGATACAATTTCATAGACCTATTACTGATTTTATTCGGTTTGTTCGGTTTGTTCGGTTTTATTTGGCTTTATTTGTCTTATCTTATTAGTCATATTATTATTTATTCGTTTATTTGAATTGTTCGTTTTTATTCATTTGTTTGAATAGAAACTTTAAATTGAGCGGGCTCGAGTTAAAACTTGAATTTTCAAGTTCAAGAAAATAGGCACTCAAATTGTTTTTTAGTAATTTACATAAATTATGAAATAGCAAAATTAAATCATTCATTCTATTTATGTAACATCAATGGTTCGAGCTCAACTTGAAAACTTGAACCTATTACTATTATTTCTTAGCAACTACAATTATATTATTTTGCTTATGGAGCTTATGACTATCCTTACCCTTCTTCATTAATAGTACAGATATCATTGTTAGTAACTTCTAATCAATAAATCACTGAAAACAGGTTATTATCACTAAATGCCGGCTGCCAACAGGAAATTTTTTTTTCCAAGGGCTATTTGACAATGGTCTGAATGTAATGAGGTTTTATTATTATTTATTTTATTTGTCATAGCGAACAAAACAAATTCAAATAGAAATTTAGGTTGGGCGGGGCTCAAGTTAAAACTTGAATTTTCAAGTTCAAGAAAATAGGCACTCAAATTGTTTTTTAGTAATTTACATAAATTATGAAATAGCAAAATTAAATCATTCATTCTATTTATGTAACATCAATGGTTCGAGCTCAACTTGAAAACTTGAACCTATTACTATTATTTCTTAGCAACTACAATTATATTATTTTGCTTATGGAGCTTATGACTATCCTTACCCTTCTTCATTAATAGTACAGATATCATTGTTAGTAACTTCTAATCAATAAATCACTGAAAACAGGTTATTATCACTAAATGCCGGCTGCCAACAGGAAATTTTTTTTTCCAAGGGCTATTTGACAATGGTCTGAATGTAATGAGGTACGTGTTAAGTAAGAAGTTTGAGCATAGTGAACACAGATTAAAGGAACAAACCTATTTGATGTTGTTTGATAATAGCAATGTTTATTACAGAGAGGAATAAAGGGAAGAGCCAAAATAATCAAAATTTGAAATTCACGCCCGTAAAATATATATTAATATTTAAACCCGTAGCACGTTTTTTATAAAAAAAAATGACATATTTATACTTATTTTAATTTCAATAATAATGAACTTTCGACTTATGCCATTATTATCCCCAGAACGGGTAATTTAGGTTAGAATTACTTTGAATTTTATTATTATTGAGCTTTTAAATTACAAATACAAAATGCGTTTATCTCGTACAATTTATTCATGTTCAAAACGTACACCAAAAATTAGATACCAAAGGTCTTCTTTTATCAGTTTTTGATAATGGATATATACACAAAGTACATGGTTTAAAATGAAATTTAAAATTCATAAACCTTCATATTAATATCAGAAGGATTCTTTTTCAGATAAAAAAACTTTAAGAAGGTTTGTACAATTATTTTCCGCTATTATTACTCAGTTTATAATCTCATAACGATATTAACTTTGAACCAATCACCTGGATTCGTGTTTAATAGAAACAAAAAAGATCAATTCATATTCTTTGGATTATGAATTAAATAAAAGTAAATATTTGATTTACTGTATTTATTTTCCGAATATATACATAATGTGTAAATTCCAATACAATCTATATTAAAACATAAAATTTTAAACTTCTCATTTTCTGTTTATGACTTTGTGACTATTGGTAAAGATTATTAAAATTCCATTTATGCTTGTTTTTTAGCTAATTTATTATATATATTAATGCGAAATAACAATTGTGAATAATTAGCAAAAAACTTTATAAAAATAAAAATTGATGTTTATTACCATTACCTCTTTGTTTAGTTCTGGTTTCTTTCAGGGTATTTTGAACAAAATTATCAAAATATTTTATAATGAAGCTTTTTCATGATCTTTTGAAAATTCAATTAATGGTAAAGAAAAATACATATATATGTCCCTCTATAATCTTTAATTTCCAATTTCTAATTTAATTACTATTATGAGTTTTCCTTCCTCTGTCTTCTGGACATGATTGATCCATTTCTTGAATCAACACTATGACTGTTGAAACATCTAATGAATTAAAATTACCACAAGTTACTGGAACACATACTCTACCTAATAAATAAAAATATTTATTATTATTATATCAATTAGTAACATCAATACAATAATAAGTTATTTGCCTATTTAGGGTGTATACAAGATGGACTTTCCAACAAATGATTGATACTGTCTCATCAAGTCTTGGATATGCATATTAAATCAAATGTAGCATTAAGGGTGAATGTTGTATTTATTATTTTTTAAATATGTATATATTTTAAATCATCACTTAATAAATATTTTATTGGAAAATTACGTTCAATACAAAAAGACACATATGGTAAATACATTCATTATGAATGTTTTCGTATGTTGATTAAATCAAAAGTAGCATTAAGGGTGAATGTTGTATTTATTATTTTTTAAATATGTATACAAATTATTTTAAATTGTAATTAATAATTTTTATAATAATAAAATAATAAAGACTTTAGGTTCAATGTATGAACCCCACACAGGATCATCATCATATCGTAGACCTGATGAACCATTATATCTTCCTGCTAATATATCTTCAATTTTACTAGATGAAGACTGGTGGCTTTTACTTTCAAAACTAGTATTGGTACTTAAACCATATTGTATAATATTAGACATTTTGCAGAGAGATAAAGCAAGGCTGCATGAAGTTTTGGGTGGTTTTGGATATTTTGTTGAATTTTGGAAAAAATATGATGAATCAGAGCTCAGAGAAAAAATGCTCAATCGTCTTCAGTTGAGATGGCAAAATTGGGAACAACCATTATTGCTTCTTTCATGGCTCTTACATCCTAATTACCAAATGAAAAAATTCAAAGAAAATATCCCAAATTTAAATCATGTTTATCTTAGTAAATGGTTAATATATTATTATGAGGCTTGGTCAAATATGAAGTCACAATCAATTTTACGGGAATATGAAAAATTTAGGAAAAAACAATATCCTTTTGATGAAAATACAATAAATCAATTTAATGAAGACATATTAGATTTTTGGGTGTGGGTTACTCCAACAGCAAAAGAACTTGGATATGTTGCTCAACGTGTTTTTGGGATCTGTGTTAATGCTGCATCAGTTGAAAGACTGTGGTCATGTATGGGTTCACTTCAAACAAAACGAAGAAATAGATTAGATGTAAGTAATTATAAATATGTACAATTTTTATAATTTTATTATTCTGATAAATTTTTCATTTAATATATATAGTTCAAAAAAGCTATCAATATGAGCAAATTACATGCTTCAATTAAATATCAATGTAAAGTTAATGAAGTGGAAGCTATTCGTAAATAAAAATCAACAGAAAACATTGCTGGTCCAATAGATTTAGAAATAAGTGAAGAAAGTTCCACAGATATCCAAGAATTAAATAATAACAGTGAAGACAATTTAGAAGAGGAAGAAGAAACAAATTATGTATCTGATTGGAATAGATTAGTTAGTGAATGGGAAAATTTGTTACTTCAAGAAGAGGTGGATGATTTACTTTCCACAGATAGTGATGATGATGAATTTGAAATAAATGAGTTATTATTGAATCAAACTCATCCTGCATTAGACAATGTAGCAAAATGGCAAATAACTGATATTTTTGTTGAAAATTTAGAAATACCATTTTTTATTGAAGATTAATATTGTATTAAGAAAATTTTTTAAATAAAATATAATTATATATACACAAAAGAAAAATGTCATGTGTTTATAGATTTTTGGCCAAAATGGCCAAGTGCCAACACTGTTGTGATGTTTCAGGATCTAGGTGATTCCTTAATTTAGATATTGTCAATCCTGCAACAGAAAAGGATTGTTCACATTTCAATTGACAATAAACCTGTATAATATTCTTTGGTGTAGCTATTTTACCATTTTCGTTCAATTTATTCACCACTTCTTCACTTACCTCTACCATTTTGAGCACATCTGACATCAAATTAACTTTAGATACAGGTTTAGCTTGTACTCGTAAACAGTTGTCACAATTTCCACATGGAGGATTCAGAGTATCACCATTCCATGCAAAATATTCTGCTAGCATATATTCTCTACAAGTATATTGCTCCTCACAAAAATAAACAACTTCAAATATTTTGGCTTGCCTTTTATCTATTTCAGAACCTTCATCTACTTCCTCAGTCACTCTACAAAAATCGTTTGTATTATTATTATTGGTTTTAATTTTACATTACAATATCAAAATACTTACAATTCTCTTCCTTGTGTTATAATTGTATAATTAGTACAAATATCATGACGGGAATAAAAAATCACAGATTTTGCAGAATTATGATCTCTTTCTGCTCTCCCTGTTTCTTGGACAAGATTGCCTATTATAAAAAGGTAAGATTATATTATATCAATCTGTTTAATTTTTAAAGCAGTAGTTAGTTACTTACCTATACTCAATGGAAATGTATAATGTATTACTAGGCGAATTTTTTTGTCATTAATTCCCATACCAAAAGCATTAGTTGCAATCATAATCTGAATTTTATTATCTTTCCATGATTTCAATTTTTTATTTTTTTCTCCATTACCTAGAGAACTGTAATACACTGCCATATCATATCAAGATCAGCTTTTTCACAGAGTAGTTCATAAACATTATCACACACATGCACTGTTGGGCAGTAGATAATGCATTTTCCATCTTCTAATTCTTTCAACAACATGATAATTTCTCTAATTAATTTCTCTTTAGTACTTTTAGAATGCACCTCTATTTTAAGCTCTGGACATGAAAAAGAAATTCCTTGAACAAAGGTAACATCAGATGGAGAAATACAAAGATTTTCCAATATTGCATGAGCATCAATTTCCTTGCAAGTTCCTGTAAGCATCATAATTGGGATATCGGGAAATAGATGGTGATTTTCCTAAGTTTGTTCCATGAAAAGTTAGATTACATTTATTTCAATAATAATTATTTTACTAAAAAGCCAATTTATTTTAGTTTTTTTACCTATAATGTCCACTTTCTATAATACAATGTACTTCATCTATTACAAAAGACACAGGTGAATTTTTGGAAAAGTTCAACAGCATTTTGGTAAATGATTCATTATAAACAAAACTTTCTGCAGTCACATATATGAGTTTTGTCAATCCAACAGCAATTTCTGAAAAGACTTTTTCAAAGTATTCTCGTGGCCTATCTTCACCAGTATAAATACTAGCACACCCAATTCCAGCAATCTATAAAAGAGTAAGGTAAATTTTCTTTCTTTTAAATATAAATCATTAATAAAACTTACCACTTGATCATCAATTAAAGATACTAATGGGCTTATTACAATGGTCAAACCTCCACGCATTATAGCAGAAATCCAATAACACATTGATTTTCCAGCACCTGTTCTCATTGAAACAAAAGTATGATTTCCATTAACATATTCTGATATTGCCATTTCTTGTGATTCTTGAAACTTTTGATATTTGAATACTTTTGTAAGCACATCATATGATGTAGGTGGATTAGCTTTCAAGTCTTGTGAAGGTGGTGTGTATTGATTATTTGGAAATTCATGATGATATCCAAATTTCAAACAGAAGTCATGATACTGACACAATCCTGTTGGAGAATACTTGGGAAAAGCATCACAAGCCAGACATTTTATAATTTTTTCAAAATCAAATATATATTTGGCAAATGTAGGTTCAAATTCTTTAGCTTTTATTTTTTCCTGAACACTACGTCCATAAGGTACATAATCCTAAAAAAAAAAAAAAAAATCAAAGAATATTAACATATTATTTAATATATTTCAAACCAGGTTGTTTACCTTGTCCCAATCAAATGTCTCAAGATTCCTTTTCTGTTCTTGAATCTTCTTACCACGTTCTTGATTTCTTTCAGCAATACTAATAACGTTTTTCTGATTTTGCTTTATTCGCTGTTCACTTATTTGATTAATATTATATTTGTCAGCTTCAGATAATTGTTGGATATTACAAGCTGACCTGGAAATTTCCAGCATATTCAATAAACCATTATTATATTGAAGAACAGCAAGGGCATGGCGTGTGCTGTAAGTTTTCCAATAATCAATTTTTTTATCCTGAAAACAAAGTTTTACACAATTGAATGCTTCATTGTATGATGTTCTAATGTGAGTAATTAAACTTTGTTTTGTAGGTATATAAAAAATTTTTTTGAGAAATTCTCTAAACTGATCTATTTGATTGCTTGTATGATCTCTCAAATGTGGTTCTTTTAATTGAATATCAGGGTTTCCTTTTCTCCAACATACTTCATCCCAACAAAGGCTATGATTATCTGAAAGGTCCACCAATCTGTACCTTTTCTAGTTCATCATCAGACACAGTAATTTTATTTCCATCAAGCTTTCTTCCACTTGCTGCATACACACATGAATTATAATAGGTCATAATTGTATTTTCATAATCTTTCCATATAGAGTTTTTTGCTGTAAAAAAAGGATAATAATAAGTGGATTATATAAAAACAGGTATGTGATTTAAGAAAGTTTACCAATCTTTGCCCTTATATTCTTTCCAACATGTTTCAAATCTGCATATACTTTACTCACACAAGGAATATTATTTAAAGTTTTATTTGAGTTTAGGTCACCATCTACACAAATATCCAAGAGTACTTCAGCTTCTTCCAATACTGGTGATATTTTTTCAATAATTCGTAACAATATTGCATGTTCCATCTGACGTGATGATTGCTCATGATTGCCATGAAAAACTTCATACTCTTTGCCATCTTTATTTTTCAACTGACGTGGTTTTTCAGCAGTAGAAAAGGCAATAACAGGTTTGTGGTCATAATCTATTTGTAAAAAAGACTTTTAATTAGCAATTCTAACCAATTAATAATATTGTATTACCTTCTAAATTTCCCTGAAATATTAGCTCTCCACTAGCTTGATTTGCATTTCGACAATGTGACCAGGAACAATCAAAACTAGCAGGAAGTATTCTTTCTCCTTTTGCTTTGATATATGCAATAGCTTTTGTTAAAGCAATTTGTGCACTAACTTCAGCTTCATTATTTATGCTTTTCAAATATTCATTTTGTCTATCATAATAATGACCTTTTGATGACTGTGTTGTTACTCCCATCATAGAAAAAATGGTTTGAAGTTGTCTCCTATTAACACCACCAACAAGTCCTGCTCCTGCTGCAAGTAAAGAAAATTTTGTACCAGGTAACTCATTATTATATTCAGTAATTCCTTGACACATTTTACAATTGATTGTAATTTGAAGATTATAGCCAATTTTATTAACTTTCAGCTTCTTTTTAGACAGATCAAGGTTATGGCATGTTAAACAAGGTTGAATAAATATGTTGGTGAGATATTGTTCAGTGTTAACTAATATTGTTGATCCAAATTTATTTTCTTCTATAGTTTTTTGCACCCAATCTTTCAATGAATCCTTATTTTTTTTTTCATACTGATTATATTTTAAATTCTTTGCATATTCAAGGTCGGCTTTAGCATGTTTGAATCTTTTACGTAATGCATCACTTGATTTTTTTGAAGATTCATAATCAATTGCAAGAGCTAAAGTTGCTTCTGAAGATAAGTTTAGACCTGTTTCTTTAATTTCTATTCCTTGACAAATTATTGGATCTTGTGAAATTAACAATGAATTTCTTGCCTTTGCAATTATTTTTTCACCCTTTTTTTGCATAGTGGCAGTTAGCTTTACCATTTTGTTTTGAGGTTTTGTCAATGCAACAGAAGTTTCAAAAATATTTGGATAAATTGAATTGACTTTGGCTTGTAGATCATGTATAATATCAGGGTTACCAAATCCAAGAATATCTGGAATAGAAATCTTCCCTGACCAATTTATGTATTTCTTCATGCTAACAAAAAAATCTGGGTTTGTTCCTTCGTGTATAATTTGTGTCATCTCCACATTATTATAAATTTTCCAATGATATGTAAGGTATTCATTATTACTTTGAATTTCTAGATAAATATGGTGCAAGTCACCTAGTCCCGCAACTTGCTGCGCCTCGTGGCCAATTTTGGGAAAATCACCAAAACTCAGAATTTGTAAGTTATGCTCAAAAATGCAAT